AAAAAAAAAAAAAAAAAGACTTTGCCTTCAAAGGAGACTAACAGCTGATTTCTCAATAGCAACAGAGGAAGCCAGATGCAGTGGAATGACACCTAAACTGTTCTGAAAGAAAGTAATTAATCAACCTAGAATTCCATATCCAGTAAAAATATTTTTCAAGAAAGAGGGCAAAATGAAGGTCTTTTCAGACAGCAAAACAAAGAATTGCTATTACTGGATCCTTTCTAGAAGTCCTTCTCTAAAGGAAGTTGTAAAATGTCTTTTTTGAGATGCAAAAGATAATGGGAGAATGATGAAAATACAAAGTGGCTAAATTAAAATACAGATTATAAAAAACAATAATAAATGATGTATTCAGTTTTTAAATAAGTAACAAGTAACAGTAACAAGAGCCTATTATGTTGGGAAAGGAGTTTAAAGAAATGGAGGGATATTGAGTGTTAGGTGTTTTTAAATGTAAAAACCCGTATCTCAGAGGTAGTGAATACAAGACTAAAGAGAGGAAGAATGATCATGCCCAAATCAACCATGACGTAACCCTTGAATCTTGAGAGTGAAAAAAACCTCAATAAAAGAGAAAGTGTTCAAAAAAGTAGAGAGCTGCTTTTTGAAAATTATTTTTTTAGGGAACTGCAAGAGAAGGATCCAGAAATCCATTAGGAGGACCCTACCTGTGTTAAATAAGAGTATTGGAATGAGATGTTCCAAGAAAAAGAGAACTAACTTCCTGTCAATGGAAATGTTCAAGCAAAGGCTTACTGGATTCACACACATATCATGGAAGGGATTTCTGCAATGGATGGGAGATTTGGCTAATCTCCCAACTCTGCAGTTCTCTTTCTGACCCAAACCTAACTAAGAAAGAGTACTTCTTTCAGTAATTAAGAGTACTATTTTCAGAATCACACATTTTATTAGAGCCACCAGTATCAACCAGTGGCTTGATAACTCTGACAAAGACATGTTCAAGTGTCATGGGCATGCTTAGTTCTAGGTTTTCCATGCATTTTCACAGGCCTGGGCCTTTGGCTCACCTAGAAGTATTAGGCCACGTGGATTCATAGATGTGTGATACTAGAACCAGGGCTGACATTCAAAATATTCAACAACTGGAATGACCGAGGCACCAACAGAACAGATGCTGGCTGTAACCCATCGGTACAGCCGCACTAGTGCACACTGCCTCATTAGAACCAAAT